GTACAGGATAAAACAAGTGTAATAAGTGATAAATTATCAAGATCTGAGCTCAAAGGTCTATTAAAAGGGAGTGTGTGTTTCAGCACAACATCACAGTTTTTCAGGAAATGAAAGAAGGAAGGGAGGAAACACAAAGAACACAGCATGACCTCGTTTTTCCACCTAATTGTTTTTGTGCTTCGTTTGTTTTTATCTCATCTTCCTCTTTAGCTCCTGTCACTGAGAATTTAAATCTGATGAATGACATAAGAGCAAACACTAACACTTTGATTTTTACAAAAAAATAAAAATATTAATTATTACAATTATTTGGTATGACGTAAAACAAACAAAATTCTTCAAATAAACACTCACAGTATGTTTGAAAGAATACAAATTGTGAACAATTTCACTGAAACTGCTGCAGCTTAGCCTATAGGAGGAGGTAGTTATTACACAGACAGGCTAGTTATAACATACAAACAGGTTAGTTATTACACAAAGACAGGTTGGTTATTACACACAGACAGGTTATTTATTACACAAAGACAGTCTAGTTATACAGACAGGCTAGTTATAACAAACAGGTTAGTTATTTCACACAGACACGTTAGTTATTACACACAGACTGGTTAGTTATTACACACAGACAAGTTAGATGTAACACCCAGGTTAATTGTAATACACAGACAGGTTAGTTATAACACACAGACATGTTAGTTATAACACACAGACATGTTAGTTATAACACACAGACAGGTTGGTTATAACACACAGACATGTTAGTTATAACACAGAGCAGGTTAGTTATAACACAGAGACAGGTTAGTTATAACACACAGACATGTTAGTTATAACACACACAGGTTAGTTATAACACGCAGACTTGTTAGTTATAACACACAGACATGTTAGTTATAACACACAGACATGTTAGTTATAACACACAGACAGGTTGGTTATAACACACAGACAGGTTAGTTATAACACACAGACTTGTTAGTTATAACACACAGACAGGTTAGTTATAACACACAGACAGGCTAGTTATAACACACAGACATGTTAGTTATAACACACAGACAGGTTAGTTATAATACACAGACAGGTTAGTTATAAAACACAGACAGGTTAGTTATAAAACACAGACAGGTTAGTTATAACACAGACAGGTTAGTTATAACACACAGACATGTTAGTTGTAACACACGGACAGGTTAGTTATAACACACAGACATGTTAGTTATAACACACGGACAGGTTAATTATAACACAGACAGGTTAGTTATGACACACAGACATGTTAGTTGTAACACACAGACAGGTTCGTTATAAAACACAGACAGGTTAGTTATAACACACAGGCAGGTTAGTTATAATATACAGACATGTTAGTTATAACACAGAGACATGTTAGTTTTAACACACAGACAGGTTAGTCATAAAACAGACAGGTTAGTTATAAAACACACAGACAGGTTAGTTATAACACACAGACAGGTTAGTTATAACACACAGACATGCTAGTTATAACACACAGACAGGTTAGTTATAACACAGACAGGTTAGTTATAACACAGAGACATGTTAGTTATAACACACAGACAGGTTAGTTATAACACAGAGACATGTTAGTTATAACACGGAGACGTTAATTATAGCACACAGACAGGTTAGTTATAACACACAGACAGGTTAGTTATAATACACAGACAGGTTAGTTACAACACACAGACAAGTTAGTTACAACACACAGACAAGTTAGTTACAACACACAGACAAGTTAGCTACAACACACAGAGAGGTTAGTTATAACACAGACAGGTTAGTTATAATACACAGACATGTTAGTTATAACACAGACAGGTTAGTTATAACACAGACAGGTTAGTTATAACACAGACAGGTTAGGTATAAAACACAGACAGGTTATTTATAACACACAGACAGGTTAGGTATTACACACAAACTGGTTTGGTATTACACACAAACTGGTTAGGTATTACACACAGGTTAGTTGTAACACACAGGTTAGGTGCGTCACTGTCTGTGTCTGATCATTGTACTGTTTTCACAGTCAGTGTGGTTATCCTCTGTGTTCCTCAAGCCTGTTGTTACCTGAGAATTCTTGTAAGTTTTTTGCTGCTCCAGAAGCCCTCCTTTTGTTTAATATATTCTTTATTTTTGAACTTTGGATTTTGCCTGCGCCCTGGGTCATTCTGCCTGAACCTCCCAAGATGTAACACACAGACAGGTTATTGTGCTGGTGATTTATTTTAATTGGTATAAAAAGACTATGTAAAATGGATGTTAGGTCTATTTACCAAAGTTCTGTATTTTAATTTCCACTGGAAGAGAAACAACCTGTTCTCAGCATTTTGGTCTCTCTCTCTCTCTCTTTTTCTCTTTGTTAAATTTCCTGCAGTAGAAGCAGTTCCATCTGACTTCCTGAAGGATGGGGACATTTCCTGTACTGTGGGGGAGTAGAGGGGCTAGGGTGGGGCTGACGGGGGGTGGCCTTCCAGCTGTTTGAAGAGACAAGAAACAGGACATTGGACAGGCCACAGACAGTAGAAACCTTGAATTGACAGAAATCATTTCCTGATTTAAGCCTCCAAAACAGGAGGTTCAACACAACACTGCTCCAGTCAATAACGTCTCAAACGCTGGTTAAACTGATAAAACAAACAAATAACAAATAAAGATTTGATTAGTTTAAATAAAATGTGTAAGCATGAAGTAATAGTGTTTACAATGACTCATAAGCTGTGCTTTACTGCATTTAAACTCATCATCTGATAACTATTAGCCACCATGTCAAATTGTAGCTCAATATATGTAAGTGATTGAGTTCCATGTGATTTTCTTTGTTTTACAGGGTTGATTATCTGAGGTCATCAAGAATGCTTACTCAGCATTCACTGTGCTTCCCTGTTTATTTTGATTCATTGTTTTACTTCTGCAAACTTTGTACTATTTAAGCCAGGGGTGCCCATTCTTTTTTGAACCAAGAGCTACTTTTGAAGTCGGCAGTTTGCCGAGAGCTACTCATCCAGTCTCAGTATCAAAAAACATGATTTTGTCTCCCTACTCCTCACTTCTTTAAAGTAAATTAAACAGAACATAATGTGTTGCTAGTTTTATTTAATCTAAAGTATTGTCAAACAAAACCATCTACTTAACCATATATTTACCTACAAAAAAAGCAAAGAGAAAATCCTTACTTAACTGCTGACAGAGAAACAGAAAAGTGATGCTCGAACAAAAAGGATCTTTTTTTACCTCCTTCAATTAGTACTCACTGTAACGTGCGAGCTATGAGGGCTGGAAACCTGCCCAGTGAGAACCACAGACTTAAATAACTTTGGAGCACGGGAACTAGTCTCCATTTATTCAAAGAACTCTCCTCTCTTCTTTCCATACAGAGGAGGAAAAACAAAACAAAAAAAACTGTCAGGGTCAACATGGCTACCACAAGAGTGCCGCCCTTTTTTCAAAGTCAAAGCACACAATAAACTCTCTCGCAGGCAGCTATAAAACACGGTGCTGAGCTTCCAGGACCAGTTTCACCTGATCAGATCTGTTCCTTTTATTGCCTGGAACAGATCAATCAGGTGGGTTTCTGAATTGTATGCATTATTGCAGAAATATCACCCACCAGTGGTTCAGGGGGCAGGCTGTAATAAAACCCGGTGCTGAGCTTCCAGGACCAGTTTCACCTGACCAAATCTGTTCCTGTTATTGCCTGGAAGTGATCCATCAGGTGGGTTTCTGAATTTTAAGCACTTTTACAGAAATATCGCCCGCCAGGGGTTTCTGGCCGAATCCAGGCGGGAGAGCAGGTGCTGGACGCAGGACCACGGGTCCACCTCACTGGATCTCTTCCTTTTATTCCCCTGCATCAGCACAAGCAGCCCCGTGCTGGAAATCAGCCGTTTCACCCGCCGGAGCTCACCTGACGACTTTTGATCGCTTATATCTCAGCAGGGGAACATCCCAGGGACTTGCAACCACCTCGAGGTTGTGGCGGAGATCCGGAGCTTTAATAAGAGCTGTCTCCCGCCCGGATCAGACACTCAGAGCCGGCGCTAGAGGCTCCGGAGTAAATTGAGTACTATATCGCCTGCCAAAGCGCCTTTTTCGGTCGGTTGTTGGTTAATAGCTCCGCGGGGGAACGTCCCAGGAACTTGCATCCACCTCCAGTAGAGGAGGACCGCAGGTTTCCAAAGTCATCTCACTTTCCCGGATCCGATGCTCAGAGCCCGCGGGAGAAGCAAAGGAAGGTTGAAATTTCCTCATGAAAATGCGCATAAAATGCACTAAGTCATGCGTAATTTGCTTATAGATCCATGGGGCAACGTCACAGAGACTCCATTCAAGTATCAGCTTGTAGGGCAGAACCAGAGCTTTAAAACCCGACCAGCCACTCCGGGATCCGATGCTCCTAGCCCAGGGGTGGGGGGTGGGGTGCTAAAACCACCCCGGCGGGAGGTCCGATGGTGCGTATTTTGGAGGTTTTTTGCTTATTGCTCCACAGGAGAACGTCACAGGGTCTTCATTCAACTTTCACTTTGTAGGGCAGAACCAGAGCTTTCAAACAAGACCAGCCGCTCCTGGATGTGATGCTCAAAGCCGGCGCTAGAGACTCCGCAGCAAGGTTGCGTTGAGCGGGCACCTGGGAATCAGCCCGCAAGCGACAAGCTGTTCATATAAACATTTATAGAGCTAAATTGGGGCCGTAAGTTTTGTTCAAAATGAAAAGTTTTTGAAACTGAAAAGGTTTGGAAACCGAAAAATAATTTTGAAACTGAAAAATAATTTTAAAACTAAAAACAATATTAGAAACTAGAAAAGTAGAATTTAGCTTTTGTGTTGCTTTTATGTTTTAACTAGCATTTTGTTTCTCTTAGCATTCATCTTTAAGCTATTGTTTTACTACTTTTTTCAATATGTTAGAATTTTGCTACTTTTAGCCCAAACAGCCTTTGTGTTCTGTTTATTGGAGTTTTCAGCATAAACTGGCAGCAAGTTATTTATTGCCAGGAATAGTTGACATGTACATCAGAAACAGATGGTGTAACATTTGTTTATAACAAAATAAATGTTCTTTTAATGTTTAATTTTTCCTGTCTTCACCAGGGACTCCATCACGAACTCTATCCACCATGTCTCTCTCGGTTCGCCCGGTCAGACGCGTCACCTCCAGATCCATCACTAGGAGTCAGAGTTTTACTGGAGTTAACATCCAGGAGAAAGCCTACAGGTACACACACACACACACACACACACACACACACACACACACACACACACACACACGTTTGTTTCTCGACCCTGTGGGGACCTTCCATTGACTTCCATTCATGTTTTTTAGACTTTATATCCTAACCCTGACCATATACTCTAAAATTAASCTCACAGAAACTTACCTGACCCTAAAACTAACCTAAACCTTGGTCCTAAACCTAACCCCACACCTGGAACATGCATTTGGACCCGTGGGAACCTGACAATGGTCCCCACGATTCACTTCAGTCCCCACCTGGCTGCTTTTTTTGGTAAAAATACCCCATGTTGTAGGAAAAACCTATACACACACACACAGTAGCTTTGTTAACAGGACATCTTTTTCTGACTTGTGTTTGTGCCTCAAGATTCCTGTTTGGCAAAATATTGTACAGCTTACTTCTCATTTTCCTATTCCAGTACACCAGATTAATTTAAAATGATAATGACAAAAAAAACTGAACTATTTTATTCCTAAAAAATAGTTGTTTTTTGCATATTTTTTCCATTGATAAAGAATTAAAAAGCTGTTATACACTCCAATTGAAACTATTCTGCTGTGGCGGAGTGGTTAGGGGAGTCGTCCTGGAACCAGAAGGTCACTGGTTCGATTCCCCCGTCCAGCCGTCTCAGTCGTTGTGTCCTTGGGTAAGACACTTCACCCACCTTGCCTACTGATGGTGGTCAGAGGGTCCGGTGGCGCCGATGCATGGCAGCCCCACCTCTGTCAGTGTGCCCCAGGGCAGCTGTGGCTACAGTGTAATTTGTAGTTTAGTGTGTGAATGTGAGTGTGAATAAGTGAATGTCTGTTAGTGTAAAGCGCTTTGGGGTCCGGAGGGACTTGAAAAGCGCTCTATAAGTTCAGTACCATTTACCATTTTTATTCTATAGGTTACTATGTAAAATAATTAACACACAAAAAAATCAGCAATATAGTGTTGTTCGAACATTGGAAAGCTTTATAAAGTTTAGTTTTCCTCAAAGAGTTGTTTGTATTTTTCTAAACCTTTTGTTTTAAGATGTGACCAAGTATTTTGCAGCTAAAACCGTCATCCTTTGTCAGTGTTATGGCCCAATATAATTAGAGAGGACACAGAAACAGAATTCAGGCTCAAACATTTTGGTTTTATTAATTTTTCTGGCCTTTTTGTCCTTCCTGGAACCATGCTGGAAAAAAATGGAATCAAAACTTTGCTGCAAAAGAAGGAAAAAAGAACATGAACCTTTTTCTACTCGTGCTCAAACTAACCAAAAACAAAATACAAAGTTTAAACAAAAGATGGACATGAGCTGGCCAAACAAAAATAAGGTGTGGCAATTGTAATTTTGTTTGGGGAGCTACATTTCCAACTCATCTAAACAAAATATTTATTCTACAGAAAAACTCTCTAAGAAAAGTTACCTTCTTGAAATTTGATAACCCCAAGTGCATCTTTATTCTATAAATTACAACTGTTGAATATTTTTGATATAAAACATATTTCTTACTTGTCCATTTGTGTTCAGAGTTCTGTATGATATAAATTGGCCTTCCTATATTAAAAGCTATTTCCATTTGAACTCACAAATTCGTAATTATGCTACTAGGCAAACTCTTCATTTGCATCTTCCATTATACAAATAATTGCTTGACCAATTCTCAATCAGATTTTATGGAGCTAAAATGTGGAATTCWAATGTTGAACTTGTGGAAACTTCAATATCTCTGTGTTTATAAAAATAAATTCAAAACCAAGCTGTTGATTTTGAAATGTGAAATTTGAGTGATTTTAAATTCATATAGATTTCTTATTTTTGTATGTGTTTTGATGGATTTTAAAATCAAATTTTGATGTTGATTTTTGTATTGATATTATTTCTTTTGTTACTTTTATTTGAGTGGCTATTTTTATTTTCTGTTTTTTTGTTTTCTTTTACTGTTGTGTTGTAGTCTGATTAATTGGGAGTGGTTTTTACATAAGCTTATTCAGGATTTTACTGTTCCCTTGCATGTGTAATCTCATTTTGAATTGTTGTGTTCTTTTTGTGTGTTAAATAAAATCAAATCAAATCGGTGGGCCAACCCTTTACAGGGCTGTCAAAGCCACACCAAACTAAACTAACAAAAAAACATCATAAAAAAGGTAAGAAAAACATACTCATGAAAAGATGACCGGTCCCACCTGGCCACAGCTGCAAAAATAAGGAACAACACAAACTCATGGCAGGCTGAGAAAGGCTGAGGACCAAGGCAGGGGCGGACTGGCATATGGGGCAACCGGGTAAATCCCCAGTGGGCCGGCGGTTTAGTTGGCCGGTGGGTCGTGAAGAAGTGACAAGAAGACGAGTTTGAAGAGTCTTGTCCCAGCTAGATCTAACAGAGATGCGCAGTGCTCATCATTTCACTGTGGAACATCACCTGCCAGTCACCAGGGGCACAACAAGTGGGGGTGGCCACAGGGGGCTGTGCCCCACCAGTTTTATCCTCCTGAATCCCAAGCTTTGTGCTTATTTAAATCTTTCCCAGCTATATAAGATTAGTAGTGTGAGGATTTTGCAGGGACTGACCCAGGATGCAGGCAAGAACCATAGTGCAAAAAGATTTAGTTCAGTAACCAAAAAAGTAGTGATGGGCAGTTTGAACCTGAAGCTTCAGCGCATGTATTGAAAAAAAAACAACACACTGTTTGAGAAGCACTGTGTCGGAGCTTGATTCGTTTGGTAAAAGTCGTGATCAGTGACGTCCGAACCTTCGAAAGTGGTGAACTTATGTCACTGCTTTGGTACCTGATTCAAAGGTTCATGAGGAAGTGAATCATTGGCTGGATTTGTGGTGTGTTTTGATGGCAAATGCGCAAAATATAACAAACCAGTGAAGGACTAATTGTGAGGCAGAGGCAAACAAACGAATGTGTTTAGTTTGTCGTGCAGTTTATAAGCCTGGGCCAGATAGAGTGGGGGTCACAAACCCACAAAGAACCTTTGCTGCAAGCACATGTGTGCGCGCACGCACAGCTTTTCATACTTTTGGCCACAGGATGGAGCCAAAGAGAACTGTGCTGGAAAGCTTCGAGTAATGAATCCTTTTTCAAAGCAAGTTTCAGTGCTTCAGAAAAGCTTCATTTGCTCATCACTACAAAAAATGCTGGATAAGCTGCTCAAAACTTACAGGTTTATAGGAGAACCACAGAGAGATCGCACAGGTGAGGGAACACAACACAATAAACCGACAAACACAAATGACAGGACTCGGAATATAAAGCAAACAAATCAAGAGTTAACGAGGAACACCTGGGGAGACACGAGAGGAATCAGGTGTGAGCAGGCGGGGCTGGAGGTCAAACAGTAGGGAGAGGAAAACACAAGAGAACGGAAAAACACTAAGAGAATAAAGACAAAAACACAGATCTTGACAAGTAGAACCTTATTCAAATAGTGTTTTTTGAAAAACTAAGACTTAAAAATATAAATATATATT